TAATTTTTAAAAAAAGTTGATAAAAGTTGATGAAGTGAGTAAAAAATTTATCAAAGTTGTGGGTCTCATGAAATTGTGATTAAAAACGAGTTTTTGAAAATGGGGATCAAACATGAACTTATTATACGAATGTTTCATTGAGAATTAACTTAAGAACTTATTATTGTTTATTTGATGAGTGGACATGGAAAAAGCTAATATCAGCTTAGCGTTTTGGGTTTAGGATCTTATCAATAGTTATAGGAAGGACACATCAATAATTCTGTAATAATTCAACCACCATTTGTAAATATTTAAGTCCCAATTAGGTGTCGGGTGATTGGACCAGGCTAGTTGTACATGTAGGGGTCCACCTCGAATTATTTAACATTTTTAAATCGAGGTGGACACTCTCCCATCTGAGTGGTTGTCAACCTCGATTGTACAAATAGCATTTTCCACATTTTAATTGCATGGCTATGCCAATAATAGTTTTTATTCGAAATTTCCGTGATATGCAAAATGTCGAATATAATATTTAAATAAATAAAAATATCTTTTCTCTTTTATAATTATAATTTTTAAGTAAGATGATTTCACAAAATGTCAAACACAAATTAAAAAAAAAATTCAAATCTTGACGCATTTATTAATCAGAAAAAAAAAATAAAATTACATGCACTATGTTCTTTTATGGATTCTCGATAGAAATTGATTTGTCTTTAGCAAATTCTTGATTTGTAAATATTCCTATGACTTGACATCGCTTAGCTACCTTTTGAGCCCCATTAAATTATATTACATTACATTAATTTTTTCTCTATCTTTATCTCAAACGCACATTCATCAAATAATATTACACACAAATCTAAAACTTTTTCACCACACATTCTCCCATCAATCACTATTCTACAAATTTTCAACCACAAAAAATAGGGGCAAACAGGGGCTAAATAGGAATACGGGTGGACAGACCCTCAGGCGCCACTTGGAGTGCTAGGGCCCANTTTTCTCTCTCCTCGCCGTCACGGCCCCCGTTGAGCCCTGCAAAACTCTCTTCTATTTTGCAACAACCACCACCCGTCACCCTTACTCCCATCAATCACTATTCTACAAATTTTCAACCCCCAAAAATGGGGGCCAAACAGGGGCTTAGAATGAAGTTGAAGCATCGATTTCACAATTTGGAAGCAACAAACATCGTCATCAACAATTTAAAATCATAATTTATTGGGAGAATTAGGTGCAGGGTATATTTCTTACAAATCACGAACAAATTCTCATATGATTACAATCTTAATATCTCTTATAAATTTTAAACAAAATTACGAGATGTTTCAATTTTTCATTCATGAATCGCAATTTCATGTACTCTGTACACAACATTGTTACTTAAAATTTTAAGATGCTTCGACTTCTCTCATTCATGAATGATGCCCCTTCCCCCTAGAGGTTAGGAATAGATAATAGGAGACTCAATTTCCGTCATCTTATAGGAGATTTGAAGATCGATAACATTGACTTGAGAATTTTGATGTTGAAAGCAATCGAAGACAATGGATAATAGAGGACTCGTTTGCTCTTATCGATCTGGAGGTCAATAAAGAGTTGGTAATTATCCGCTTGAGCATTTTGATGTTGAAAGTAATCGACTGAAATCGGAATATTAAGAAGTTCATATACCAAAATAGAAATAAAAATGAAAAAAAAGGCAGTACCTTGAGTAAAACAGCATAACAACTCGTTTGGTCCAAAATAAGAAATTCCCTAGATTATCCTCGAATAAGAAACCAATGTCAGGTGAATCATCGTGGTTATATTCGTCATTTCGCCTATTGATTCTTGTCTTTTTCGCCACTGTTTCTCCATATAACCACCAACTCACCGCTCGCTCTCTCTCGCACCATAACTCACTATCTCGCTCTATATATACAACAACTTATAAGTGTAGATCTAGAGAAGATCTGGAGACGGAAGCAGAGACGGACCCAGCACCCGGCCCGGGGCATGGCCGCGCGTGCTGGGCTTCGCGGGAACGTCGGAGCAGTGCTGCAATTGGGAGTTTTGCCGACAGCTTCTTACTGGTTCGTCTTCTTCATCCGTGCTACTTTTTTTTTTTGTGAAATTGGGCCAATTTGGCCCAACGCCCAGCCCATAATCTTTTTTTGTTTTGTTTTGAAAGTGGGCCAAATTCGGCC